AATGTGTTGAGTTTGCCAAATCAGATTTTGTATTTTAGAATTCTTTCCCTTCATTTGTTTCCACACGAGGATGTCTAGGGGCTAAAGCTGCGTTTCTTACAAGTTTCAAATATTTAGCTTCATCAGCTTCTGCTGTTTTAAGAATCCCCTCGCTACGAACAGGATGTAGTGGTTCATTTGAAGGTGCTTTATTACTTGCGATCCTTTGCCCCTTCGAGATCTCCTTGTTTCGTAGGTTTCATTGACCAGTTATCAGACTCAGATCATGGTATTAGGGGCATGGGGTGCAAGAGGAACCAAGTAACGTCCCATGATTTGAGAGCTAGGTCTGCAATGCCTTATAAAGGTAATGAAGGCACATGAGGGTAGAACCTGATCAGGCTACACAATTATCTAAACATAAAAAATAAAATGAAGTCATCATATGTGGCAACAAATGCAGGCTGAGGACTGTGAGCTACAGCAGGTGGGGGCCCTGGCTTTCTGATTCTAAAGGCTGGTCCCAAAACCTAGGTAGAAATATACCCAACATGGCTAGAAAACTTCCAAGTCTCTTCTCGATTCTGTGTTCAGGCGCTCCTCCGGTCTGTGATCCGGTGTTCTGAGTAGGCAGCAGGGTATTGTGCAGAGACCACGGGATTTGGAATTCAGGTTTGAGTCCTGGCCCTTTTAGCAGCTGCACGACCTTGCACCAGATCACTGAACTTCACCTGTAAAATGGTGAGGCTGGAATGCTGTATATAAAGCACCTAGTATGATGCCTCACAAATACCTCAACAACATTAACCACTGTTACTATTATTGCCAGTACTGTTACCCTTTCATTCCCTTGCCAGTGAACAAATTAGCATCCTGGTCAGTTAACGAGGCTCAGACTCAAGTCAATAGGGCCATGGTGAAGTAAGATGGAGTATCTGCAGCGACCGAGTAGACAAGATAAAGCCGCAGGGTTAATTCCCCAGAGTGCAGAGTGCCTCAGAACATTCTAGTGCTCCTGATGACAAAACATTGCCAAGTTTGCCCTTAGCTGCTGCTGTACAGATCTGGTGTCGTGCTTCTTTTCTCAGAGTCCATCTTCAGAGGTGCTACGGCCAAGGTCTAGTGTTGCTGCTCTCCTGTATTCAAGTGTGTCCTTTTCCCAATACCTATGTATTTTTTGTCTAAAATAGTTGTTCTCTTCTTTGCAAATACAGATAATTCCATGTGCTTCTATTTCAAGTTCTTGAGTCACTTCCTGGCTCATATTTTGTTTTTACTTTTCCTCAAGCCTTGTAATTTTGCTAATTGTGGCCTAACCATTTAGCCAGGGGTTTCTCGACCTGAGGGCTTCTAAGGCAATCCAGCCCACTCCAGAGAGGGTAGCAGCAGGGGAGGAAGGAGGATGGCTGTTCCTAGGTGAACTTTCCTTTATTAGTAAAGTCCCAAAGTAGAAACAGCCAGGGATTCCAGTCACCGTGTGCAGGCCCCAGGCCCTTGCATTGCTGTGCGGTTGCGTGGAGGACCGTCCTGTCCTGGAGCCGCCCACTAGCCAGGTGCTTCTGTCACACTTGGCTGCTGTTCGCCGTGCTCGAGCATGACTTTTGGCCGATGTCTCTCTCGGCTGGAGAACGTGGTATGAGCTGAATTGGTGTCTCCTCGTAGAGCGTCAGACAGCAGAGGCGGAAGGCACACTAGGCACTGGAGTCTTTATTTTTACAGGCGAGGAAGCTAATCAGAGAATCGGGGCTTCCCTGTGGGCTCCTCATCTTCCGGGTTCCTTCCCTTCTTGCTCATTCTGATGTTTGCATTCTTGCCCAGGCTTCTCTTTGTTCTTCCTTCCCTGTCTGTTCCGCACCCCCCGTTTTTGATGCTTCCAGATCTCCTTTTCTAATACCTGCTGACCAGCAAGAGCCAGCTTCCACATAGGACAGGAGACGAAGTCTGGCTTCCTGACTGCTGGCAGTCAGACCGTGTCGCTGATAGACAAGAGGCACCTTCCAGGAAGGGCCTTGGTTTCTCCTGTGACGGAGATGTCTGGGGCAAGCACGCCTCTCTGGAGACTCGCACTGCAAGAGCCATGGCAGTCCTAGACACAGCCAGACCTGTAGCCACGCGGCTGGCAAGTGGGGCCAGGGGCTGGCAGGCAGCTCCAAGAAACGCTGCTTTTAGGTAGAAGCGGCCTCAGAGCCGTTTACACCTCCGGGCCTCCTCCTCACTGTGGTCACTGTACCCTCATGTTATAGATTTCTCTACAACAGCATGAAATCTGCAGCATTCCTATAGTTCATGCTTAGCACCCCTCACCCATCCAGTTCATCCCTCCACTAGGGATGAACAATTCATTTCCTCCCGGGTTGCATTCTAGTCACCGTTTTGTCAGGTGCTCACAGGGCTGCAGGTTCCTGAAGGCTGCACCTCTCCCTGCTCTTTGTGGTAGACAGTAAGCATAGGCACATAGGAATGAAGACACCTAGGAATTCTAGCAGAACTCATTCCTGCAGAATGTCTAAAATGGAATTAAAAGTTTTTATTAACATGTGGTTACTTTGCAATGATGGGCTTTTTTCCTACGTTGCTTTTCTGCAACGAACACGCTTTTCTTGAGTAATAATTTTTAGATGGTCACAAATGATGATTATCCTGGCCCCTGGGCAGGCCCCTGAAGACAGTACACACACACAAAGGAACACCCGGTACTGGGCACGAGCCTCAGATTCAAACTGTTCCCATACCTTTGCTGTGGTTAAATCCAGTAAAAGCTCAGCTTGAACCAGGACAGACGACACCGGCAGTGATTTTACCATCTTCACTGATACTTTTCTTTCTTTGAACATAAACACACGTGTTGCCAGTTCTTTAACGGCCTGTGGTGGTTATGACTACGTTCAGCTTGTCTCCTAATCACCAAGTTGTTCCATTGCAGTCGCACCAGCACCCAGAGCAGCAGCAGTGCTTACTGGCCGGCGCGGCCACTTCAGGAGGAAGGACCTCAGTGACCTGCTTAGCTCAGGTGGGGCCTATTTCCATATTGTTTTTTTGTCATGAAAAACAGTGATCCTGAAGAAGCTGTATGGCTCTTGTCCCACTCCCTTGTTCTAGAATAGTGACGTGAAGTTCTGTAGAATCTGGGGAAGACAGAAGCAGGCCGTGCTCACCCGCCCGCTGTAAGGTCAGGCACGACGGCACACGCCGCGGAGCTGCTCTCTGCAGAGTGAGAGGAAGGGTGGGCTGTGGTGTGAGCCCTTACGGGGTGAGATAAAGGATTTAAACACCACGTTCCCCAAAAGACAAATAAAAGGCAGAATTTAAATTTAATTTTGGAAATGAAATTCGGAAACTATCCCAAGACAAACATCAGTGTGAGTCTGGAGTCGGGATCAGTGATGGTCTCTGTAGGGGCAGCTGTTCAGGGCCGAGGTCTCAGCCGCGGACGGACGCGTGCAATCCCGGGAGGACTCGGCCCTGTGACCGCGGACTCGCTTCCCGGAATCCCCTCCTCCCTTGCAGTTTGCTCTTATCAAAGAATTCCTGTAAGACCTAATCATTCAAACTCGGGTTAACTGACGTCTGTTCCGCTGGAGCTCCGTGAGGCTTGTCTCCTCCCAAGGTATTCCCAGCCACACTTGACAGCAGGCTCTCGGGCCCACAGCTTATGCTGTGCACACAATTCTGTGTGGAATTCATCAACATTCAAGGATAAACTTTTTTAGTGTATCTATTAAACTGTAACAGAGGTACATCTGGCTTACCACTTACTCAGAATAAGGGGCAGGGGATAGAAAACTTGAGATGTAAGAAGACTAAGAATTCATGTCTATTTCTTTTAATAATTCAGAGACTACAACGAAGTGTAAAAAGCCTTTCTGTTCCCTTTGTCCAGCAGCAGGGTAGGCCTCAGAGTGCCGGTGTGCAGCCTCTTATGTGCATTGGGGTTAGAGGTTAATTGAACCCAAGTGGCTGAAGACAGTAGTGCCACAAAAACTCATGGAGCAGGGCTGGGTGTGACGTCCTCATTCAGGAAATATCACTTGCTGTATAGAAGGTGTACCTTAGCCCAGTTTACAGAATATAGAAGAACCATGTATAAACAAGAAAAAGCACCAGGCTGGGAGCTGAGATATGTTAGTTATTTGCTCTAACCTTCTGGGTAAGTCATTCTATGGATAAGTTGGTAAAACTTTTTGTAAAGCAATTTAGCAATATAGAGCAAATTTAATGTAATATCTTATTACCTATAATTTCATTTCAGCTACACAAACATACATGTAAGGATGTTCTTCAGTGTTGTTTATAGTGACAATGTAAATGTGCACTAACAGGATACTGAGTGGTTCAAGTGTGGTATGACTATAACAAGATAAAAATGCAGTCACTAAAAGTGATGTGTATCCCTATCTATTGACATGGAAAGACAGACAGTACATTTTCTTAAAAGACTACAAAACAGCATGTATGATTTTATTTTATATAAACACATATATACAAAGTAAAAGTTTGGAAGAAATACAGGAACAGTGGCTCTCATCAGAGAACAGGGCTCCATGTTACTTTCATTTTCTTTCCACTTTTAGGTAGAGTCTGAGAAGCCATTTGAATTTAGAAAAGTGAATTTCTACCATAGATGGTTTCTGGAGAAGTGTCACTTGTATATGTACACATCAAACTGCCAGCCACAGAGAGAGTACAAACCCACCTACCTAACAGAATGAATGTGAGGAGTATGGTGACCACAGCAGAGCTGTAGCCCATCATTGTCACATGGGACTCTGGATCCAGTGTCCCTGTAGCTTCCAAATTGCCAGGCACAGTCAGACTTATTTGAACACTGGTAATATTTAAACATTGGCAACTTACTCAACTGGCTTTGAACCACTACAGGTTATCAAAGAAGACACATAGGAGGCAAATAAGCATGTCAAAAACGCTCAGTATTATATGACTTCATTTATCTGACATTCTGGAAGAGAGAAAACTATAAGGTATGGAGACCTAGATCAGTGCTTGCTAGGGACTGACAGCAAAACTAGGTAGCATGAGGAAATTTTTTAGGGGGTGAGGGAAATGTTCTGCCTTGTGGTGATGGTTGCATGCCTGTCACACCTCATGCACAGGTCCAGAAAAAGAATGGGTGAGCTAACTGTGTCCTTTGGACAGTCAGTGTGTGGCCTCTATTACATTCAGAGCCCAGGTTCCACATGGGAACAGCTTCCATCCATTCCTCCACCTATGAGGTGGGAAGATAGTGGAGTTCCTTCATGGGTAGGTTTCTTAACAGTCCACAAGATCTTATCAGCACAACATTCATTAAAGCAGTATCTTAACATTGCAAAACACATCATTAGTACATTTGAAATACCTAAGGCTACAAGTTATCTCACTTCCTATGTATATTTAGAAACATGCAAGGGACCCTGTAAGGCAGCTAATACTAATTTTTGGTGTTTTCTCAAACTGTCCTCAAGGCAGAGTTTCATGTGTCCTATTCAGTCTGTTGCTTTTGTCCCTAGTCTCTCCTGGCATCAAAGGAGCTGCCCCTTGTCTATGAACAATCTGTATGGAATGCAGAAGAAATAGGCCCTTTTCTACGTTTGTGCCTCATGGATCAAAGTTTCCCAGCATTTGTGGAAGATGTGGAAAAGAACCTAAAAAAGCTGGCAGGGTTGAGAAATTAACCCTGTATGTACATATCCCACCAGGGAACTTGAATGCACTGAAAAATGCTTTCTCCGAAGATTAGTGAAGATACAAGAATAAAGAGTATTATTCTAAACACCTTTTATCAATGTTTTATTTTTAAAAACAGGTGACTCCACTTTTTATACATCATTGCACTTCAACAAATACACAAAACACAAGTACATGCATCTGCAGTTACGTAACGCATTGAGATCCCTACTGGATGAGAAAATCTACACTCAACCATTAAATTGATGTGAAAAAATACAGTGTCAACCCCAAAGGATAACTAGTTGCATAGAATACCATGCTGTAACACCTCAAGGTCTCTGAAAACAAATTATAAAAAGTTGCCTTAATTGAATGTACAATAAGGTTCAACCCATCAGTGCAAAAGGATTTAAGAATTTACATGACTTAAAAGAAAAAGTAATCACTTAAAAAGCAATCACACATATATACTGCAATTCATTACATCCATTCAGTGGACTGTTCAGCTTCTTATCAAAGTCGTAGGTTGAGCCCTTAAAATTACAGATTTCAGTTTGTATCACTCATCTTTATGTACCAGAACTGCGCGATTTCCTCATCTTAACAACATACAGTAAGGAATGAGTATCAGCAGCTTAAAAATGAAACAAGCATTTATTTTATTTTGGATTTCTCCCACCCCCAAAAATATAAATATATATATATATATTTATATACTGTATATATCTGTAGGTTTTGCTGTACTTTACAAAAAGGTATCACTAGATGGCAGCAGTGCATTTTAGAGCTTGCCAATTTAACAGCTGCATTAAGTAAAAAATGGTGCATGCATGAAGGGATCCTCAAAGGACCTTTCCACTTCTATTTAAATATTTTAATAAAGGAGGGGGGAGGGTGGGAAGCAACATTCACAGCACATCAAGCCCAAAATAGTTTACACCTTCTACACCGAAACGTGGTTGAAAATGTACCTGGCCAGAGGACCCTTACAGGAGACGCTAAGTAAGGCATGCTCAGCCAGCCAGTGGTGCCGCTCGCGTGGAAGGGGAGAGAACCGAAGAGGCTCAAGCAGAGAGTTTAGCAGGCCATGTTGCCACCAGTTTCAGGGCCCCAAAACATCTGCAAAGACAATATTTGGAAACTAAAATAGGAATATGCAGTGTCATGTAAAACACCACCAAGTGCCACATAAAGCCAAGCTTATGTTTCAGACAGCACGCTCAGGGGTGTGGCTTCGAATCTGGATCTCCGTGTGCCAAACCGGAAGGCACTCTGGCCCCACTGGGCCAGCTCCCACTCATGCTCACACCATCCTCAGAAGCAAAGTGCAACTAACTGGTCTCTGGGAATAATCGACCTAAGAGGGTGACAACATAATTTTCCCTCTTTTTAACGATGTAAGTAAATGGTGAAACATGCATATTCTGAAATGGCGCATGTAAATATGTGCAACAGTGCAGCTGAAACATGCTCCTCCAGCTGCTATACTGGACAGAGGACCTGGACAGCTGCTCCAAAATGAACTGAAAGCCCTCGCAATATAATACCAACTACTGAAGATTTTGTAACATGGTCAACAGAGGCACATTCGTTTGAAGATAACTTTAAAATTTCTAAAGGCCATACTTACGTTAAAAGCAGTGCTTAATTTGTGTTTCTCTGGCGCAAGTTTTTATCTTTGTGGTTGTTGGTAGAGTTGGTTTTCCTTTGGAGGAAAAATTGCATTGTAAAAGTTCAAGTCAGTAGCACCTTGAGAGAGTATAACACATGCAAATATAGGGATTTTTCCACTTACAGTGTTGCTCAGGGAGCAAGAAATTTTACTGCGCAGTGTTAGTGTCTAAACATATTCCTTAAGTATCTACATACCTCCAATTAATATATCCTTTTGATTCCCAAGACAGATGAGATACAGATAACTTCCCCTTTGATTGGTAAACTATAATAACTATAAAGGTGAGAACTGTGCTTTTTTCTCTACTGAACACCACTGTCTCTTCTCAAATGGTAAAAGATATGCAATTATATACAAATTGGGCACCTCTGCCTGCCACTCACTCCACAGTCCCCAATTCTATAGGAGATTCTGCTCATCTTGGACTGATTCCAAATTTTGTAGTTCCATCTCTCTTCTCTCTTGGATACACACAACTGTTTAATGGAGCCAGATAGTTTATCCAAGCTATAGATGAGCTTGAAATTAACTTTAACAAAACCTGAAGTCTCAGATATACTGGCCATTTTCCTTATTTTATCAATTTAATAAGCATATGGGATGTGGAAAATTTTTATATTTTTTTGCATGGTATTCCACTTTATATTCCTACTAAAAACAAAACTATGCAGCCCTGTCCTGGGAACCAAGTGGCCATCAGTCAGCTTCTTAGCAAACTAAGACATACACGCTGTGTTCCACAGTCTTCCCGTATAATCTTAGCTACTCCATTTGATCAAACTGTAAGTATAAAATAACTCTATCAGGAACTACTGAATCAATGTCCGGTAAAGTACTTACATTGGCCCAGCTGGTTCATCATCTACACAGGTGTTCAGGGTTTTAATCCATTGAGAGACAGAAGAAGAAAGGAGAAAATCGTGAGACTCTGAGTAAGGATTAATAGAACAGCAGAAGGCAAGTGGCAAACATGGCTAATCACAGCATTTATTCAAGGCCATTCCATCTGGAGGTGCAAAACACTCATGGAGTTATTATTTCTAGATTAAAATTTTTAATGGCAGGTATGTTGTTTCAATGGTTTTAGTTAACACTTGGATGCTTGTCATGAAAAACTGCAACTGTAGCGGACAGATAGGCTGCAATATTGTTATACTCATCTTGTCCCCAAGTTCCAGTGGTTCACTCTTAAGTAGATGAGAACACAAACCAACATTTCAGTTGTAAAATCCTGCTGTTTGTTTTCTTGTGGTGAATGCATGCACTGTTGTGGCTCAATCCTGCAATGTAGACGGATGTGTGCATTCTCTACATTTAGCCACACATCCTCACTTCCCCAAAGGACACTGTTCTTGCTGTTTTGTGACCTTTAAGAGTCTTTGGTCTGAAGAATGAGACTGAGGAAGAGGAAGCCACAATAGTTCAGCCCGACACCGGGGCAGCCAGGCTGGGCTCTGCCCGCAACAAGCATCCGCACACCGGAGGATGGTCTGTGACACAGCAGGGAAAGCGGGATAGTGGTGACATCCCTCTAGAAGAGACTCAGAAAGACAGGCTCACTCTTATGCCCTGGCCAAAACCAGAACCCAAACCCAGATGAGCCATGAGATATCTTTTCTTTTTTAATCAAAAACTTACATCGATTATGAGTTTAGAAGCCTTCTTTAATGATTCTGATTGGTAAAGTTTTTTTTCCTGTCTCAACTAAGGGCAACTTGGTCCCCTTTACGCAGGGATATACATACAAAGAATTTTTTTTAAAGGCCCACAAAGGAGAAGAAACAAGTGCTCTTAGTTTGTTTTTATTTTACAGAAGTTGGGTGGACTGAATGGTTCAGGATGGTAGGATTTCTCCGAAGGCTTCTAGAAAAACTCTCAGCAGGATTCCACAAGGGGGCTTGGTGCACATGAAGCAGTTATGGAGGTTACAGCCTCAGTGTACGCGTCTGCAGGAGCACATGTCAGGAGTAATGTCTGTCAAAGGGAGACATTGCTCCACCTGTTCCTTGGAGGCAACGGAGAGGCAAAGCTACCGCCAGCACACACAGTGACTGGAGCAAAAAAAGGTTTCAAACAAACAAACAAACAAAAAAAAAACTATCCACAAACCAACAACTTCATCAGCCAAAACAATAGGTTAGTGACACCAGTGTCCACAGGATTCTACCACTAACCAGCACACACTCATACAGGGACAAAGAATAAACTTTAAGACTGAAGGACACCCAAGACACCGGTGTGCTGTGTATGCAGTGGAGATACACAAAGACACGTCGGGTACTACAACATAGGCCCAACGGAAGTCCTCCCTTACAACACCTAATGCTCTCAGCACCCGGCCGGGCCAGCTCAGCTACGTGCTAGCAACTAAGCACTTTGGGGGCTTAAAGGGAAAGACACAGGAGCAATATTTTTAGTGCTTTGGCTATGCACCCAAAAATACAAAATTCTAAAGCAAGACAGCTTATTCAAGGACACCACCAACCTACTCCCAGCATTAAAAGAAAAGGCAAGGCAGAGGGGATCGCGATAGCCAAGCTGGTCTTTCCAAAGCACGACGCTGTTGGCACCAAACCAAACTCTTCTCTTCACAAGCTTCTCTTCCTTTCGGTCGTGGCGGTATGCCCTGGCGTCTGACCGGGAAGGTCATTTTCCAGCCCAACAAGCAGATAGCGTGCAAAGGGCTGCATGTAGGGGCTTCAGCAACAGTGGCTCCTGTGTAGCTGCCATGCCTGCAAGTGGGAGCAGCTGCTCTTCGCACTAGGGTCTATGTCTCACGAGCCCCTTCATCCCTCTCTCCCCAAATCCACTTGCACATTTACAAGAACAAAGAAAAGAGCCTTGTTTCCTACTACCCTGTACTGAACTGCTCCCTGCACCACGGCTCTCCCTTTACATGTCAGACAAAAAAAAAAAAAAATAACTTGACCCCAAGCAGGGGAATCAGGAGAGAGGGGAAGAACAGAACTACAGAAAAAGGTGCAAAAATCAAAGTAAATGAGGATTAAACAGCAAACTGAAATCCAAATTAGTTTGTGAAAGTGAATGAAGTAAACTTGAAGAAAAGTGTTAACATTATGAACTGTGCATCGTATAGACTGAAGCGGAGATTAAACAAACTCCAAAAGCATGCATATCGCTCACTTACCACCATGTTTTAAGGGTTTGATGCAATTGAGGGGGGAAAAAAAAGAAGTCATAGTAACCGACAAATATCAACATACCCCCAAACCCTCAGGCCAAAAGACAGCCGCTTAAACAATGACTGTTCTCTCCACCTGGGTGTGACTCACAGCCACTGGCTAGATGAGAGGAAGAGGACTGGGGGGAATGGAAAAACATGCTTCTGGGGTCCGTCTCAGGAGAGTGACTTTCTGGTGGAGCCGCCGCACACACACTGAGTCACCTGCACACTGTCTTCCTGAATGAATGCACTGTGGCCCTCACCCCCCATACCTGCCTCACAGTCTGGAAGGGTGCTCTATGATGCCCTGTAAACAACGGGTAACTGATACAGTATCACGTCCAAAAAGATGGCTTTAATGTCAAACTGACCAACAGTTAACTGTCTGCAACTGTCCGCCTGAAGTTCTCTCACGGCTTTCAGCTCACTGAGGATGGAGTTCTGTGGTTTCTAGACCCACTTAAATTTTGCCTGATCGCAGCAGATTGGCAAAAAACCCAAGAGAGATTAATGGTTATTGCCAATTTCCTTCCTTGTTTGTACCTATTGTATTTTCTCCACAACTGACCCAGATGACTCGTACTTAAGAGACGCAAATGTATGTTTTGTATGTCATTCTGAAAAGTCACATTTCTTTTCCAACATTCCTGGCCTGTTCTACAGCTTTATATGCTGCCAGTATTTTGGACAACTGATTTTGGAACATTAAAATAGCTCTTAATTCTTAGGTGTCTAAAAAAGTTTGTATATATCAGAGTCACTAAAAATAGTCCCACAAAACCTCAAGTATCTTCTCCACCACTAACTTAAAAGGAAGAGTACAGTCTCTTTGACTTGCTTATAAAAATTATCCCCCTAACATGAAAATAGGAAACTCTTTGATGCCAGCACTTCTTTTCTTAAATTGGCTCCTTTTGTTCTCATTTGAGGTCACTAACAACTGCCCTGCAGAACTAAATGCCCCAGTGACAGGCAGGTTCGCTACCCAGCCCCCCGGGGGCCGAGGAGGGGAGCCATGAACACACACACTGTGCACACGCTGCACAGTCAGCTGGGGACCCGCACGGGCATGTGCTTCAAGCATGTGTCCAGCCGGAAGGTAGAGGGAGGGCTAGAGGGACACTAGTTGGACTAGTCTTTTTAGAGAATCATCATTTAACATTGTTTCAGAGAAGCAGTCAAGAGGTAAGTGAAATAAAAAAAACAAAGCCCTTACTTGGCTGCAAGATTCATCCGTTACTGGAAACACTGAAGGTAAAAGGTGATATGTGGATGACCTACCTGCAAGACGCCCTCTTGGCCACCAACCCTCAAAGAGACCAAAACAGGGGCCTATAGAGATTTAGATGTGTTTCACTTATAAAATGTCCTGAGTATATAGATATTTCAGTAGACAGAAAGACCTGGGCCTTTTTTTTCTGGAAGCAACTGAATCATTATTAACCCTAAGCATTTTCCATATGAGAAACAGAAAGCAGTATTTGCTTTTCTAGTGAAACGTACTCAGACCAAACTCTGTACTTTCACATTTGTGTGTTTTTATACTTCTGTATTGTTCACTTGGTGTTTTCTAGTAAGGGTATGAGATACAAAGAACTCATAGGCTGTCCAAATATGAATACTATGAATTTTGCATGAATTTTTTCCTATAAAAAAGATTCAGGGGTCAGTGAGTCAGAAATAAACCTTAGGTATATCTTGACACTAAAGTCCCTATTTGGCAAAGAGAAAGCATGTCAGACCTATTAAAAAAACACATTTTCGTAATGGCATAAATAAGTCAACACAGAAGCACAGATGGTTATCTAGTAAGTAAAACCCCAGATTTGTTTCAGATATAAGTACCTCTTCATTCATTCCAAAATGGGGTGCATCTATCTATCTATATGTAAATTTAGGGAGGGGCTTGTGGGAAGAAAGCCTATGAGGAGAATTTGCTTCTACATGAATTGCACAGGAGTTGAGGGGAAACTGGCTAAAGAAAAAAAGCTACAGCATAAGAAAAACTCACCAACGAACAATCAACTTTTTTTTATTAAAGATCAGTCCAGGAGAGAAGCAAAACAGAGGGCAGGAGAAGGAAGGAGTTTGAGAGAAGGAGGTAGACAAAGGAGAAAACTAAGGGACAGAAATGTGGGTGCTAGGGCAGGGGTGCACAGGTGGAGACCAGAGCCTGGACCGTGCTGGCTGTCGAGAGGGCGCAGGGAGAGGGTAAACACTGCGGCAATTCCAGCACCCTAGCCTGTTTACCACAAGCCAACAACGGAAAGGAAAAGCCACTTGCATTACAGTGTTCTTCCAGAGACAAGAGCAAGGGGGTTTACTTTGCACCTACCCTGAAGTCATCTCTTTCATATAGGATTCATTCGCTGTCAGTAATAATTTATCTTAAAAGAGGTATTTTCCCTCCAGGTAGCTGTTCAGAAGATATGGTGGCCACAGATGTGTCTTATAACAAACTGGTCCCCACTTGAGGTCCTGGAGCTCTTAAAAAAGACAGCAGCCACCTCCCTGGGCAGGTGTCTGCACTCAGCAGGCAGACCCAATACTAACCACTTCTCAAATCTATTAACCTGGGTGTCTTCCATACATGCTGGGACAGCAATCTGGTAAACAAAGTGTCTTCCTACAAAGTAGCCTAGAACCCCCGACAAGGACATGCTAAGCCAATGTGTCACCCTGCCAAGAGGGTGGCAAGCCAGCCTCATCTTAAGATAATCAGGTTTTGAAGCCCATCTTTGCCTTTTCCTACGTGACTTTTTGCTTCTCAACCTTTCCAAAGGGAAGGCTGAGAAAGGTGATATTTAGCAAAAAGCAAAAGCCTTCTGAGGGGGTGAAAAGCCTCATTCAGGAGGGAGGCATAACTGCTCCCAAAGAGCCAACGCCGAAAACACAGACTGGCAACTCCTGCCCTGAAGGTGTGAACACAGGGATTCTGCCTTGGGAGTCCTAGTTTGTAGCAGGAAGACAGACAAATCTAGAGAGAAGGCATTATACATATAGGAAAATCCCAAGAAAGCCGTTTCACTTCACAGGACAGCACTTCCGTGGACCTAGGGGAAGTAAAAATCCTGGGGACACGCATGTTGCAAAGAACTAGCCCACTTATTTTCAAAGGCCCGTCTGCTTCCAGCGGATCTCCATCCCATTCCCCCATTTAGTTCACTGATAAATGTACACTTGAAGGAGACTCCACCACATTTGTTTCAACAAAGTCTTTTTGCCAGCCTCACTAATAGTCCCTCCACATATACAACAATGCTTAGAAGATAGGAAAAGAAGGGGACATGGCTGTTGCTCTCAAACGTCCTTTCAGAGAGTCTGGGACCACTAGCAGGCCTTCGGGGCTGCACTCTTTCTGAGGGAGCACCAGGCCCCCCTTTAGTAAGTCTACACTGACACACTGACACACATGGTGGGCACTGCAGTCCTGCTGGTCAGCCGTGAGGACACAAGACAACCCTGTGGGGCAGGGAACAGTACCACAGCACACCAGCACAGGCCCAGAAGGGGCAGCCTAGAGTTGGCATCCTCACCATCACCCCAGGCCTCTGCTGGGTTCAGGCACACACCACTCTAGTCCAGCCAGTGATAGACAAGTGGCAGCAACAGCTGGCTGCCCCAGTCGTCTGTTTCTGCAGGGACTTACAGGGCAGGAAGGTGGAGACAGGAAGCCAGACGGCAATCGGAAGCACTACCGACGCAAGTTCCCACTGTGATCACACGGTCAGAAAGGGAACATCCACGACAGAAACATACAAAATTTCCCACGACTTTTCTGACTCTAACCATGTCCAACAATCCACAAGTCTCACAGGGGCAAGGGTGAGGGGGTGAGGGGTAGTGGCTACAACAGGTGCTCTCCACCATTCCTGTTTGTGAGACAGAAAAGCCAAATGGTAGGTGCCTGCTTCACCAAGAACCTTGAGAACCTATCAAAGGCACCAACCAAGAGAACCGAAGGCTGGCTTGGTCCAGTGGCCTCCCCTGAGAAGAGTCCGACTGGGCTGGGGCAGTTACCTCCAGGGGCTACACCAGGCAACCATATGACGACCAATCAGATACCTTAAATCTGCCTGAAAGGCCAGGTGGCCTGCGATCTTGGGGTGGCTCCTAGGCTGGACTTGGATTCTCCTCAAGCTCAAGCTGCCTGATGATCTGTATTGAAGGAGGACAGAGCTGAACAAAGAGACTGACAGCTGCCCATTCCCCACGTGGGGCCTGAAGGGCAGATGGAACTGGGGTTTGCAAAACACCCAAATGGAGGGATAGAGCTAATAGTTAAGCTCTAGGTGGCTATCTTAGGGTAGAGGGTAAGGAAGCAGTGAAAGAAATTTTTCTCTTTGGGGATTCAATCCCAACATCCTTATAGTCTCTATGGGCGCTTAGAAACCACCCCAAAGCATCAGCCCCAATATCACCACTATTTTGTGGGGGTGCTCTTACCATCAGGAACATCGTCTGGCCTCTTCCTCTTCTCATACACAACAATGATCACCACAAGGATGATGATTTCAGCCAGAATTCCCAAGAAAGGCCAAAGTATCTACACTGACACACTGACACACATGGTGGGCACTGCAGTCCTGCTGGTCAGCCGTGAGGACACAAGACAACCCTGTGGGGCAGGGAACAGTACCACAGCACACCAGCACAGGCCCAGAAGGGGCAGCCTAGAGTTGGCATCCTCACCATCACCCCAGGCCTCTGCTGGGCTCAGGCACACACCACTCTAGTCCAGCCAGTGATAGACAAGTGGCAGCAACAGCTGGCTGCCCCAGTCGTCTGTTTCTGCAGGGACTTACAGGGCAGGAAGGTGGAGACAGGAAGCCAGACGGCAATCGGAAGCACTACCGACGCAAGTTCCCACTGTGATCACACGGTCAGAAAGGGAACATCCACGACAGAAACATACAAAATTTCCCACGACTTTTCTGACTCTAACCATGTCCAACAATCCACAAGTCTCACAGGGGCAAGGGTGAGGGGGTGAGGGGTAGTGGCTACAACAGGTGCTCTCCACCATTCCTGTTTGTGAGACAGAAAAGCCAAATGGTAGGTGCCTGCTTCACCAAGAACCTTGAGAACCTATCAAAGGCACCAACCAAGAGAACCGAAGGCTGGCTTGGTCCAGTGGCCTCCCCTGAGAAGAGTCCGACTGGGCTGGGGCAGTTACCTCCAGGGGCTACACCAGGCAACCATATGACGACCAATCAGATACCTTAAATCTGCCTGAAAGGCCAGGTGGCCTGCGATCTTGGGGTGGCTCCTAGGCTGGACTTGGATTCTCCTCAAGCTCAAGCTGCCTGATGATCTGTATTGAAGGAGGACAGAGCTGAACAAAGAGACTGACAGCTGCCCATTCCCCACGTGGGGCCTGAAGGGCAGATGGAACTGGGGTTTGCAAAACACCCAAATGGAGGGATAGAGCTAATAGTTAAGCTCTAGGTGGCTATCTTAGGGTAGAGGGTAAGGAAGCAGTGAAAGAAATTTTTCTCTTTGGGGATTCAATCCCAACATCCTTATAGTCTCTATGGGCGCTTAGAAACCACCCCAAAGCATCAGCCCCAATATCACCACTATTTTGTGGGGGTGCTCTTACCATCAGGAACATCGTCTGGCCTCTTCCTCTTCTCATACACAACAATGATCACCACAAGGATGATGATTTCAGCCAGAATTCCCAAGAAAGGCCAAAGTGGGGCCAGATGGCTCCGTACCCTGAGGATGGTAACAATGGAGGCCGAGCCGATGGAGTTGGTAGCGTTACATTCATACTCGCCAGGGTCTTCTGTGATCTGAAGGTTCATGATGCTCAGCTCAGTGTAATTTTCCTTGTTGATGATGAAGAAGCGGCCGGAAGTATTGACTATCTCCTGCTCAGGGGCAGAGAAAGTGGGAGCACACAAAGGTCAGGGTAGGTAAGTAACTGCCCCAAACAGGTTGATGCTGTTACCCATTCTTAGGACACCGGCTGGGATGAGGGAGCAGTGCCTAGGACCATCTTTGTCAAAGAAGCTTTGAATACTTGATTACTGACTTCCCTTCAATATCAACACTTCAACAAGTTTCTCACAGAGCCAGGGTAAGAACGTCCCTGCCTTTACTTCCCTTATTTCTGTGAAGTGAAGGGAGGTCCCATCTTGTAGAAGACTGGCCCTATTTGGAAAATGCTGCTTCAAACACCAGGTAAGAAACCAGGACATGAAGAGGGTAGAGGAGGGTCCTGACCTCCATGGTCAGGCACATCTAGTGACCTCAGGCCAGTCTCATGATTTCAGAACTGGCACATCTACTTTACACTGGATGAATTCTGGAAAATCTCCTTAAACTTCCTCCAGAAACAATGCTAAGAACTTGCTAGTTCTCTAGTAGAGAGTGGGGGAAATCTGTAACTTCCCTGCCTTTTAAAACTACACAATTAAAGAAGAGTTTATTCAATCAGTCAACAAGCATTTTTTTAATGGGGTATGCTCATGTTCTGTATCTTACTGAAGGGCTGGTGAGATAGAAAGGGAAAAGTATGACACAAATGGAACAAGGAAGTTAGGTGGCTTCACCTTCAGAGGGAACCAGACCTTCAGAGGAATGACTGCAGAACGTGGTAAGGAGCCCCAAGAGGGGTGTGTATAGAGGACTGTGAGGCACCAACGGAGTGGCCACTGCCAGAAAGTGTCACAGAAAGCTTTGGAGAAGAGCTAACATTTGGAAGAGACTGTGGGGGAGGAGAGTTGATCAAGCAGGACAGGAGTGCTCCAGGCACATGCTCCAGGTACATGTGGGAAGGCAGAGGTGAGAATGTGTGACCTGGGGTCTGGGTGTGGAGCTGGACTGGGACAGGCTCGCAGCACTCACCTCATAGGATCCTAGCAGGGGAAAAAAATACAGACTTTGTGCCAGTTGTTATGGAACAACTAAAGCATAATCAGAAATACTAGACAAGAAAGGGGAAGAGGATCCCCAAAACGATGCCCAGCTACAACACACAAAATCATGTCTGCATGTGAGTGGTGGAATGGCTGAAATGGGAAACTCCCAGCCTTCCAAATAAGTTATTCTGTGAAGCTTCAACTCTAGGGCTTAGAAAACTGGAAAGCTGCCAACATCACCAACTCCTGCCCTAATTCCGTGTTTTTCATTCATGACCAGAGGCAACTGGTGTCATGTTTGGTCCACAAGCCTCTGGTGGGTATTTTTTGAATGCCATCTTATGCAAAAAACTTTTCACCTTTTCAATCGATGCATATAAGATAGTGAGTGGGATTTATCTTATTGCCACAGAATTGATGACTAAGGAGAGAGGCATCAAAACTACCTCACAGTCTTGAATAAAAGAAAGGCTCAAACAAAGAGGGTCAGAGAGTCCGTCTGGGGATCATTGAAAGGGGGCCCCATCACCACCTAAACCACATTACCCCTTCCCAGTCTATAAAAGAGCAGACAGGATTAGAGGCAACAGGGAAAGAGGTACACTTGGCATTGTAAGTGCCAAGTAGAACAGGCACCAAGGGAATCACTCAAAGACTGGGGGTGCCAAGAAGGAAATACCTTTTTTCCAGTGGCTGTTTGTTTAGGAAAGAGACTGGTTGATGTGCCCTGTACCTGTCAGTCTCGGAGGAGGATTGTCTGGGGACAGGAAGGCAAAGCAGCCCACACTCCCACTATCTGAAGAACCATGACGTCCAAGTTTCCCCCACCTAAGAGGGGTGCCTTCCAGGTGAGCAGGTACCCCAACAGTGAAAAGCTAATGATCACCTGTGGCTGGAGAAAAGTGGGAATCTGAGAGGTTCACTCAGAGTGGATGTCTCACAATCTAAGACGTAGCCCCCTAAAGAACTCACACAGGCTCCTGTAAGACCCAGCATCCAGACACCTGTGCCACACAGAGGCCGGTCACTGAGAGCTGGATTGGATGATCGCTGGACTACCTTAGGATTCTGCATTCCGACCGACAATCAGCAGGCCTGAAAAGTATAGTGCTGAGCACACAAGACCTGGGGACAGGAGGAATGCATGACATCCCCTGGGATAGAAAGGAGACTGTTCAAATAGTAAATCACAGAGAAAATGAGAGTCTAAAGCTCTGACTCCCCTATGAACATCAAGATCCGTCCCCAGACTAGAAAAGATGTTTATCTTTTCTGGAGCAGATACTGTCAGATTTCCAATGTCTAAGGCTGCCTTTGAGCCTCACCAGGTTTGCCTTAGCTCCCAATCAGATACTGCCTCTCATCGCCTTGTCCTCCCAAGAAATAAGAAAGGTACATAAAGATTACTTCAAGAACAGTACTTTTTTTAGGATAAAAGGACTAGGCTAATAGTAAAAGTTTAGGATTGGGGTTAGCTCTGTCAGTGTCCTATCTTGAAGGTAAGCCGTCTAACCTCATACCAGACAACCAGCCTTAGCAACTCATGTATAGGGATTCCAAGCTGGAGTATGGAGACTGTCAGTGCCCTCCAGATTCATGATGTAATTCATAACTCTAGAAAGGGCGACCCAAGCCAGGCCAGGTTGGCAGGTTGCAGTAACTGGTTCAGATGTCTAGACCTCCCCAGGAGAAACCCCAGCAACCCAGAGATCTAGGCGCAGAGAACCAGGGCTGCCCCCTACTCACCACGGGCATACCATTCTCCTTCTTGCGCCATATCCACTCTGGGTGGGGATAGCCAACTGATTTGCAGTACATCATGGCATCCTGCCCTTCATTCTTGTTCTCGCTCCGTTTATGACCAGTGATGTCAGGAGCAGCTGTGAGAAAGAGCGTGGAACACAGTTACCACGGGAGCCTAACTCTGAACAGAATACAAAGGCCCCACCTGCTGACTCAGAGCCCTGCTTGAAATAGTGAGTCTTAGGGCCGACCTTCATATTCAGCATTGGTAACATGCATTTCAGGTCAGAACAGAGCAATGGGTCCAAACCATCCTCCACCTTCTGCCTACCAGAGCAGCCCAAGCAGACACAAGAATTACCACATATGAAGTTCTATTAATAATATAGGTGGTTCTCTAACCTACTAGAAGAGGCTCAATTTAGGGCTCAATTGCCCTAAATTAAGCCATCCTTTAAAGAAAATGTGAACAGGAGCTATTATGATCTCTACCAGTCATGTTTTTTCTTAAGATACCCACACTAACAACAATCACTGATACCATATAGCATATATTCCCTTAAGGAAATGAGCTCCCTAAGATCAAACGCCTAAAATCAAGTCCTATTGCAAGGCATGTTAAAACAATGAACGCTTAGAGAGGCCATCTGATGAATATCAATGGCCAACGCTCTCCTGGGAAAGAGGAAATACAGCACACTGGTTTTCACAAGGGGAAGAAAGGAATGAACATGAAATTCAGCCAGTGTCCCAGGAGATTTTATTAACAGCTTCAGACTTGTACCCTTGATTTGCTGTAATGTCAATGAACCTAATCCTGGGGGAGGTTTCTAGACATGTTAGAGGTTGTTGGTCTTCTCTGCTTTTTGGTATCACTTAAGAAGAAATAAATGGCACCTGTGGTTTTAAAACTTAGGTAAGTTTCAAGAATCCAAGAAGCCTGAGATGGGGGCTAATTCTTTGAATTTGGCCTTCTTTGATCTTAGCCATATCTTCCACCATTCCTCAGAGTTGCAAGAATCTGAAAGCAGTAAAACTCAAAGTACACCAGATGTCACTTTGTTGGCCCAGATGGGAAAAAGAATCAATAGGCCTGTTCCAAATTCCAGTTTTGTGGTTCTTTTAATTACTCTGTGCTTCAGTTCTACGCCCATTATAAAAGGAGATAATTCTAGCCCCTGCCTACATCCAGTATTCTTAGAGAGAGAAGATGAACCAAAACATTCATTTTCAGACTATAAAAACCTATACAATTATATTACATCATGGGTTGACTCCACATTCCCCTGACTGGCTTGGCTTTCCTTGGCTTAAAAATAATCCAGAGTCCTGCTACTCTCAGCCAGTGCTTCCCAAGCCACCTCCAGAAACACCAGGACAGGAGTGGAATGGGCAAAGTCCCAGGCTGGCTCTACAGCCAATGCCCGCCCGCCTGAGGCCTGCTCGGTACTACTGAGTGTGAGGTGTTCTCTAAATAGGATGTGATAAAGCAAATGTCTTTTCGCTCTCCAGGCAGAAGGGCGCAGGTCAGGCCGGCTCGACCTTATTTCCACCGCGCCTACCCAGTCGCTGTCTCAGGCCTGCCCTCTCACCTGGTCACCCTTCCTTGGAGCTTTCCTCTGCCAATAAATATTTCGGACCATCTTAGGCACTTAAAGGAGTAAGCTCAAGGGCCATAAACAATACCGCCATGGGGAAGTCAGGGACCAAACAAGCAGAAGGGCCACTGTTTGCCTCTAGTTGTGTTTCCTTCACCCGGCAAACATCTGCTACGCACCCACTGCATGCCAGATCCATCACAGAGTGGGGAGGGAGGCCTTTCTGATGAGGTGAATTTTAGCATAGTCATGAAAATACGGGAGTGGGCTACTCATCATCATCTGTGGGAAGAACATGCCAAGGAGAGGGAGAGGCGGAAGCCTTGAGGCAGAAGTGTGCCTGTTGTGTACAAGGACAGCGTGGAGGGGTTCGGCTGAAACACAGTAAGCAAAGCAGAGGTGTCAGAACAGGACATCAGAGAAGAGCTCACACCGAATGGGACTTTGCCAGCCACTGAGATGAGGTGGCATTTACTCTGAGGCAACTGGAAAGTCACTGGTGAATACTAAGTAAGGTATGAAACAATCTGTATGTTGTAACAGGCTCCCCCTGGCTAGTAGTGGACAACTGCAGAGAGACGACAGCGGGTGAGACTCATTAAAAGGCTATGAGAATAATCTAGGCAAAGGAGAGGATGGTTTGGATGAACGCAGCAGCACTAGAAGTAAGGAGATTCTGGATATATTTCTGTGGTTGAGTTAACATATTTGTTAATTGCCTGGATGTGGGAAGTGAGAGAAAAAGGAGTCAAGAATGGCTCCAAGGTTTTTGGCCTTAGTAACTACAAGAAAGGAGTTGTCATTAGATTAGGTCTTGCCTAAGACTACAGAAGAATCAGTGGTTTTTTTGTTTGCTTGTTTTTATTTTGTTTTGTTGAGGGATGGGGCAATGGCGGTAATAAAAGCCAGGAGTTCAAAGTCGAGGACATGTTCAAGACATCTTTTTCTAACATACAAGAGAAGCTGTCAGGCGGGCAGCTGAATATCAAGTCTGGGGCTCAGGGGAGTGGTCTAGGGTAAAGATGCAAATTTCAGAAATCGGCATATATGCAATATATTTTTCCATTTTTATTCTCCTATGCTCCACAGATAGCTACTCTGGCCCAGTTATCTGACCAATTCCAATAGCTGTGAATTCAGTGTCATCAGCTTTTGCCTTGGGGACTCATCGCCAAGATTATACGTAAGAACTACTACCCTCGGGCTAAAAGCTCAGTTGGGTTTATGGCTCCAAAGCCTCTAAAAAATGGCTATTCTGAAAGGATGCAGCCTTGAAGACCAAGACCTGAGGAGAGGGGAGGAGGTGGTCTTCACCCCCACCTGGTGTGTAGGAGGGGAACGCCAGCCCCTTTGTCTCTTCTACTTCCGTCTCCACAGAGGCTTCCATCTACAGCTGTAAACACAGCCACAGAGGCTGCTCTGTGCAGAGACTATCTGGGGAATGAGCTAACCCCCACCAGACTTTGTTTGCCATGTTTATATAGTGTAAGCCTAAGCCTACAACGGTGTTCAGTGGTTAGATCTCCTGCTGCTTTCTCCTCAACTTAGCAGAGAATACTAAGCGAAGCTTAGGATAGCCCATCTACTTAATGCACGCAAGAGTAAGTACCCCGAGTATTCACCCTTGGGATGGTGGCAGTTACCACTAGTGTACTGGGAAGAGAGAAAATTAATCCAAGCCACATCCCTCTTCTAGAGAGTGGTTGTAACAACTATTACTTTAGCCTTTGGGTCAATAAAGTTTTCTCACTTCTCTCTATCCTTCGTGGTAGCTGCTCGATTGAAAAACTTGTTCCAGCCCCACTAACTGAGCAGCAGCAGTGCAGACCTGCAGTAAGAAAGTAACCAGGCTCTCAGAGCACTTGTCACCAGTGGTCAGAGAGGAGGCCCCGTAGGACTCAGGGTCCATCTGTGGTGGTTTTTTAAAAATAGTCCACAGATTCTTTGATTTTCTTCCCTTCAAGAGGTGATGCCTAATTTCCCTCCTCTTGGTTTAACTACTCCATATACTACAACTTAAAGAAAAGAGCTTTGGACTGTAAGAGAAATCTGGGCTCTACAGAGACTATCCTTCACCAACCGAGTAACCTAAGGCGGGGCATCTAAAATCCTTTGTGTTTCAGTATGCGCCTTTGTAAGATAGGAATAATACCCACATACTTCAGAGAGGCCTTGTGAGGATTAAATTACATCTCTGTATCAATCTAGCACATGATTGGAGCTCAGGGTCAGAAATAAACATTTAAATTGAACTGTCAGTCAGGGAAAGGAAAGGCTAGGCCTAGACTCAGGTATTACGAGTTCTCAGAAATCAAAGAGATGTTTACTATTACGTGTTGTGTGTGCTGATATAAACAGGACTTTTGTTTGTAACCTCAGTGAAGTTTAATCAGGTCAGATACTGACAAAGTATATTGAGTAATGGTCTATTCATACTCACTAAGGTGCCTCACCTCACGCTTTATGGACTCGCCATTTAATAAGGAACTGCTTACCCAGGTCCTGTTGGTCTGAAGGCAGGTCTAAGGAGTCTAACAGAGCAAGTACTCCTACTTCCCTTATCCTCTCAGGGAGGCAGGGACTGGGTGGCAAGACTGAAGGGTAAACATGGCAAGAAAGAAAGAGAGAGACCCTTAAAAGAGATCACAGACCCACATGGGAATTAACTCACTCTCTGGCTTTATCAGTCACAAACTCTAATCACATTAGCAGTTGATATCCTTCCAGTATTCTAATGAATGGCAACACAGGAGTTCCAAAAGTCTTAGTTACCCAACAGCACCTGACCCAGTCTCATTATCTGGCCTTTGGCTGAGGACAGAGGCATGTTCCTCAGTACCCTCTATTGCCTGACCTGCCTTCACTTAGAGGACAAGCCTCCAGCTCCTCTGCTGGACTGGTGGCTATAGACAGTGTCAGCTTAGGCAATGAAGGCATGTTCAGCTAAAGCTGATGTTAAATGAAGCTAAGAACAACAGAGCTGAGAAAGGAATCAAAGTATGGGGCCTCTTAGATGGACTATTTATTTGGTGCTCACTTTTCAAAAGTAAATTAATAACCTCACAACTCATTTTCAAAGAAACTCGACCTTTAAAGGTGTTGTCAATGAGTGGGATGTTTCTAAGTAAATATATTGATACTATATAGAGGTTGAGTCTTCCATTATGTAACCTGTCAAATCCCAGACACCTCACCTTTGCTGTAGGCAGAATAGAAGCTCAGTTAAAAGCAGAGAGAGAGTTAGGCTTTACTGCTGGCCAAGGGCTAGACTCAAGGAGCAATGAGATTCGTTAAGATGGAAGCAAGACGACTTGTTGGCTTTTGGCTCAATAAGCATTCTCTACACAGAGTAAATTCACCTTTGGCTGTGAGGACTGGAGCAGTGTGGGACTGTGCTGCCTGCTGCACGTGAGGGTTTTCCCTTTCCTGCAGGTGAAACCACTAAGTAGAAAGCACTGAAATCTTTAAGACAGTAATTCTAACCTTGGCTATTCCCCATACTCATCCGGAGTGCTTTTAATAAGCCTGCTGTCCAGGGC